TAAATAGCTAATTAGACATCTTAATTGATGTCTCATTCGTAAAATTTTTCATATTTACCAATTGGTTGAGTTTTTTGATGTCTAAAACTTATGAATGTATCCTGGGAAACTTGATCAATTTGCCCGAGTTTCGTATGTTACAAATAAATCGAGACAATATCTTCATTTTTGTTTTTTGTTCTCTTCCATTCATAATCATATGATTTTCTCATCAAATTCTATTTGATTTTAAATAACTGGTATTCGTTTCAATAAATAATTCCTTCATCAAAGCACAGAGTTTACTTTATAAAAGTACTATAATCACTAACATCCAAATTCACTTACTTTCTACATAAAAATTCAAATTAGCTTCCACCTAAATAGACCTAATACTAAACTACGTCTTTTTCTATAAGGTAATATTACAATTACCTCATTAAGTAGAGAATATAAGAATCGATGTTCAATTTTATTGAGTTGAGAACCTAGAAATCAACTTCCAAGTTTTTGGTCAAGTCTTGTATTTTTTCAGAAACTAAATGGAAGTATTGTTCACAAAAAATTGAAAGCTAAATTATCTACTTGTGCAAGTAGAAAGACAAATTTTTTTTTTTTGAAATGACAATACATAATGCATGGTTTAGTTTGAGACATTAACCAATTTATCTTAAGATTATGGTTTGAAAATCTAGTCAAGTCACACCTAGTTGGAGATATTTAGATTTGCACCTAGTATACTCACTGAATTGGTTATAAGTAAAACACAACATTTGGTCATGCATTCAAAATTTGTAGGGAAAAAAAAATCAAGAATCAAGTGTGAGAAGGAAAAAGTTACCTTTAATTTGCAAACAAAATATATACCTAATACGATACGGACACTGGGATATGACAAAGTTTAAAAATATAAGACGCATGTATGCCAAAGATACAACTAATTAAAATAATATAATATATTTTTAGCCAATAATCAAATTATAATATATTGAAAATAAAGCATATTTTATAATAATATTAATACTAAGATCTAGCAAATATTATTTTTTTATTAAAATTAAAATAGATCAAAATAAACATCCATAATTTGCACCAAACATCATCACATACATTAACATTCATACCACATAAGTTACATAACAAAAAACACAAACAAAAAAAACACACAAAGCTACAATCATTTAAAAAATAATATTGGTCGTGTTCGACTAAACTCATTATTTAGGACACTTTTAGCTATACCGCACATGTCTGGTTGTGTCTAACACTGCCACGACACCCTTGAGAAGTATACATGCTTTCTAGCCTGCAACTGACCCACTATTTTGATTTGTTGTTATTATGTAATGTGCCTCACCAGTTAATGGGATTTCACAATCTTCCATTACCCAAAAGTGACAATCTGGATTATTTTTTTATTGTATTCCTTGTGTGTCATATGGAACATCTGGCCAAGGAAATAAAGAAAGATAATACATTTATAAACCTAATTAATGTAGACACTACATATACGTTTAAACACAAATCAATGTCAACCCCTTTTAATTATATGCTCAGAAGAAAAAAAACATAAAGATTTCAAAATTGTATGTAGTCCATAATTGCCTATAGAAACTCATGTTGGCTCACTTGGAGACACAAAAGACGTTAAATATACACATTTTATGAACAAAAGTCATCGCTAAACTTTGATTACACCAGGAACAAATATGTCCCTTAAAGTTCCTTGAGTGCCAATTCTTTCGAGTGAGCTTTCTAAATCAAAGGATGAGTGTAGATTTGCAATATAGATAATTTTTAAGGATAAGAAAAAATTTCCTCAATGGAGTAATTCGCACTAAAGATTTAATTGTAACATTCACAAATTCAATCCTTCTAATGTTATTGAGTCCCACCTAAAAAAATTGTCGAAGCCATCAGATTATAATTAACACCAGAGAATGGTGAAATTGGGCACTTGATTGTCTAAGTTTATATTCAAAAATTGTCCAGAATACACCAATGAGCAACAAGAATGAAATGTCATAGTAATAGCAACAAATATCAGAACCAGTAAGCCCTAGACCATTGCCTATTTCTATCAAGCTGCTGAACTTAAGTCTAAGTAAACCAATACCATAATATCAAAGAAATAGAACGAGGAGATTAATCAAAATAGGAATATAAACGATTAGCAAATATATAAAGGGATAAAAAAATCTGCTACATGTAAAAAGCAATAAAGCTAAATATTAGGGAATCTTGAGTTAAGAACATGTCGAATGTCATCTAATGAAAAATCAATGATTTCATATCCATCAAGAAGTCAATAAACTTTATCTGCTCGAAGATTGTGTAAACCTGGTATCCTGCTTCAAGGCTATGAGTGTATGCATAAGATTTCTAGCATCTTCTTCGATAATACTTCCCACAGACCACGCATAAACATTCAAATTTGAAAGATAAATAGAACTAAACTTCTCAAAATCAATATCCAAAACCTACAAACAAAATGCTATAAAAGTCAAATGCATTTGCAAATAAAAGCACATAAAGCCACTATAACGTCATGAATAATGAGATGTGCTCAAAAAGAAATTTAGTAAGCTCATAAAACAGCTTCTACCTCTTGGAGTCCTCGGCCATTGTATTCTCTTATTCTTTTCTCTTATTCTTTTCTCTTTGTTTTCATTCTATTCACACATAGTCCAAAATTTTGGTGAGTTGAAAGTAAATGGAGGATTGATAAGATTGTGAATAGATGCCCACAAATTGATAGAACAAAGAGCCAAAAATTTGAAATATAACAAAATAGAGAAATGAGAGAATGGAAGACAGAGAAGATGATCGAGAGCAACACTTTTTGTATGAACTGAGAAAAATTTATTTGTTGTGGAAGACAATGAGTTGTAAATGTTTTAGGGCTAATTTAAGGAAATTAAATATAATAAGTATATTAATTTAAGGAAATTAAATATAATCAGATGATCATGCACTGACATTGCATGTTGAACAATGCAGCTAATCAATTTGATGCAAAGGGAAGATCAAAAGACATAGTGGATATGATTGACTTTATATCAATAGTTAAGGGTAAAAATGGAATATAAATATTTTTCATGTATCCTCACTTTTTAAGTAGTATAGATATAAATTATCTTTATGTTAAAGGCGACAGTTCGATTGACTTTTTCATTTAAAAGAGTCAGTTCGAAATAACGTTTTTAAAATTACTTAAGTTTGAAAATTATTTTCAAAATCACCAAATTTTGAGTGTATATTTCCAAAACCCTCTAGATTTGGGTAAAAGCTCATCGGAATATTAACCCATTTGACCAGCACAATTGTCATTAATGACTAATTTGGGCCTAATTTCATCCGTTTTCACCCGAACTCATTAAAGTATCTCTAACTATGACTCAAATTTAGACTTAAATTTGAATCTAAATTTGAATAAAAAGTTTGATTTGGTATAAGTACACCATTGAGCAAACTCAAATATATACTCAAATCTTTAAAAAAAATTTCTTATTATCCCAAAACTCATATTTTTTTTGTGTCATTCAAATCATAATATTTAATAAAATAAATGAAACTTTCATATCTCTCCATAAATAAGTAATTAAAAAAAAATGAATATGTATACAACATTACAGGGGAATAAAGAAATCAGTTCAGAATTCTAAAATTGTTCTAATCCCATATCATTTTTTATAAATCCAGATAAATAAAAAGAAAAAGAAAAAAATATAACTATTTTGACATGGGCCTAGTCTAAAGAATACAAAAACATGTGTTTTTAACAAAAATGGAAGATTGAAGAAATAAAATGACAAATTTTCTAAATATGCGGGTAGTGAAGGCTTAAATTTCAGGAAAAATCAGTGGTATGAAATTGTACTACCAATAATGTTTAACTAAAAAAAATCAAAAAATTATTTGATGGATAGACTTAGGGTTTATATAGTATGAAAGATGGTGAGATTAGTGTTTTGAAAAATACAAGAAATAAAAAAGATGAAAGATAAAAATGAAAAAAATTTATTACAAGTCTTCAAATAATTTGTAAAAATTTTGGTAGTGGTCGGCGATGAAAGCAATGTAGTAGAGAGAGGCAAGAAGAGGCAGAAAATAAATCGCTGATTAAGATTTTTAATTTTGAATAAGTTAAAAAGTTATCGTTAAAAATTTGATATAAAATTTAAGTTTAAAATTATAAAAAAAATTTGGGCCATTTTAAATCAAATTTAAATTTAAGTTTAGAGATGCTCTCAATCCCGACTCAGGCAATTCAGTGGGGCCCGTGTCTAACTGGGGCAATCCTTTCGGCCACGTTGAAATGCGCGATGCATTATTCCCCCCTCTACGCTCTCTGCTGATGCATGCCTTGTTGGCACGCTGCATGCAGTTGTTGGTGCTGCTGCTGACGTCTCTTACAGAGACGCTTGGCTCCTCCTCTATGCCTGCAACTGTCTCTGCCCATTCTCCAACGCGTGTCTTGGCTCCTCAATTAAATCACTCTATCCACCGAATGAAACCCCCAGGACCCTAGCGGTTCAAACCCATTTATATAGCCACAAGCCAGTTATCTCGAGCTCAAATCTGAATCATAACACCAGAGTCGCAGCACCACTTTACTTCCGTCCATCATCAGGTACGAAACTCTATATCTCCTTTCGCTAATCTAATTGTTAATTTTTTCTTTTTGTCATTTGATGCGCAAAGAGATGATACAATGAGCCCTGATGATTTTGGTTTGTTTTTCCCTTTCATTTCGCAAAGAGACGATAGGATGGGTCCTGATGATTTTAATTATCATTTCTGAGTTCTCCTTGAAATATTGTGTAATTTCCCTTTTTTTTTGTTTGGATGGTCTACATATGGTATTGGAGCACTTGAGCAGAATTGTGAGGTATATGTCTGTAGTCTGTTCTCTCAAGTTTCCTTGATCTTTTTGTTTAATATTTCTTAAACTTCTTAGCAACCATAAAAGATGGTTGGGTCTTTTATTGATTGGATTTTCTGTTTGCTTCGCATATAGAATGGAAGATCCGGATGATGAGTGGGAATATACACCACCAGAAAGTGAAGGTAAAGTGAATTGGATCTTAAACAGAGGTCTGGGGCTGGGAAAGAAGGTTGTGATCACAGCTATTGTGATCTCATCTGCACCCGTGGTTCTTCCTCCACTTTTGATGATATCTACTCTCGGGTTTGCATTTTCGGTTCCATTTGGAGTTGTCTTTGCGACTTATGCTTGCACTGAGAAGCTCATGAGCAAGTTGCTTCCGTCGCCAGCATCTTCTCTTATGTTGGAGTATGAGACTGTATATGCTGACGAAGAGGGTGATGAAGAAGAATATGGAGAAGAAGAGGGTGATGAGGAAGAATATGGAGAAGAGGAGGATTTAAGTTTTGAAGGAGTTGTGACGGACACAGTGTCTACTGATGAAGAGGAAGAAGAAGCAAAAGAAGAAGAAGAAAAAGAGAAAGGAGAAAAAGAGGATGTGGGTTCTGAAGGAGTTGTAATGGACAGAGTGTATACCGATGAAAAGGAAGAAGAAGAAGAGGAAGAGGAAGGAGAAAAAGAGGATGTGCGTTTTGGAGAAAATGTAACAGAAGATGAAGAAACAGAAAAGACAGAGGATGCAAAGAAAAGGTTAGAGATGAGGGTTGAATTGGAAGATGATGGAAGCAAAGAAATTCCAGGAGGAGATATTCTGCAGGAGGAAGATGATCCTGCAACGAAAGCTGTGGAACATTGCATGGAAGAACCAATGGAGGAAGTGGATTATAATGTGAAGGAAGAGGGGCATGAGGAAGATGTCGGCGAGTACTTAGACGATAAAGAGCCCATGAAAGGGGTTCATACAGAAATGGGAGTAAGAAAAGAGGGAAAGCAGGAATCAGTGGTAGACCAAAGCAATGTTGAGGAATTCTCTGTTGAAGTGCGGCGAGTTGTGGTTGTAGCTGAGGGAGATGAGAGCAATGGTAGCAGTGTTGCACAAAAGGAGGATGTAGTC